AGGAGGAGGAGGAGGAGGAGGAGGAGGAGGAGGAGGAGGAGGAGGAGGAGAAGAAGAAGAAGAAGAAGAAGAAGAAGAAGAAGAAGAAGAAGAAGAAGAAGAAGAAGAAGAAGAAGAAGAAGAAGAAGAAGAAGAAGAAGAAGAAGAAGAAGGAGAGGCTTGAAATAAAAGCTCTCTCGGCTGACAGATGTTCTGAGTCCACTAGCCTCTCTTGGTCATGACTTGTAACAGGAATAACACTTCTTTCTGACCTTCGCTTACATTATATTGTGATTGGGGGGGGGAGGTTTTCCCCCACGTTAGAGAATTCCTCACAGCTATATGGCACCTAGTCAAGCATGCATGGGACTCACCTCAGTGCCTACATCTGAGTCTCTTTCTCAGTATGACACTGGGAATGAAGACAACAGCAGTGAGCATTTATGAAGGACCTGCTGAGTCTCTACCAATTGGGACTCATGGGAAAGTGAGTTAACCTTCAGTCTCAGTTCTCTCACCTATACATTTAAAGAATCTTAACTCTATGGCTCTGATTCTATCTCTGATTTAAAAAATAGAACAAAATGAGAAAACGTAATTCAATTTATAGAAGTTTCCTTTATCACCAACTTTACTAATGTAAAATGAAGAATATCTGTGCTACTCATCTATGCCTTCTCTTTTTCCACTTCCCCAATTTGCCCTGACCCCATTGGGCCAGATGGATGAGTAGGAGGACCCACCACCAGGGGCATCCTCCCCGTTATTCTGCCCTTAACTGCTCAGATCTCATGATGCATTCAGGTGGGAAGACCAATGATTCCTCGTGATGCTTGCATGCACTGGAGGTCTCCAATGCTCATCCTTCTGGTGAGATAGAGAAATTGGGGGCCCTGAAGGCTATACCTACATACTGTCATCGGACCTGCTGATATACCCTTAGGACTGTTGGGCTTTTCCATCTGCCCTACAGACAAACTCTTACATGTTGTCTCAATTATAGTTCGAGTTCTTTGAGAGCAGGGATTGTTTCTTTTTTGTCCTTTTTCCTATTCGCATCCCCAGTGCTTAGCACAGGGCTTGGCATACGGCAGACACTTAAATGCTTTTTCATTCATTTGTATACATAACCCACATTATACTAGTATTTAGATTTAAGACTGAAAGCTGGGCTTGTCTATTTGTGTTCAACCCATATTTCTTCAATACTACAACCTTTGCTTTAGTTGGAGCCAATGGAATGACTTTATAATTAGTACTCCTAAGCTAGTGTCCTATTTATATATTAGTCCTGGTTAGTAAATATAGTTGTACTTCAGGGAGAAAAATCAAGATATGCTTGAAATGGCTGATTCACTAAAAGAAGAAGTAAAAATCTGGGAGAAGATTCGTCTGGGCAAATTTATCTGGCATAATTTCTGCATGCATTAGAAAACTCAGTTTTGCTATGTTTTCCTTTATGAGCTTCCATTTCAGTTAATTGGGATGCTGTGCTCAGTGTTGATTGCCAGTGAGGCTGGATGACTTATTTAAGGCCAAGTACACTTCTTTTCTCCACTGATTCCAGGTTATCCATTGGTTAGGATTTGCCATGACTAATAACTCAGAGGCAGCTAATTTAAAATTACTTACTAGCTATACCCTGAATTGTTCAGTGAGACGGTTTTATTCTATTATCTACATGTGATTCAATTCAACAAGCATATATCAATTGCCTACTGTGTTACCTCCATTTAATTCACTTCATTATTTAATTGTCAACTGTGTGTTACCTACATTTAATTCCATTTAACATTTATTAATTGCCTACACTTTGCTAGAAACTGGGGATACAAATCTAAAATGAAGGTAATAGTCCCTGCAGGGAGGGAGGGATGGAGGGAAAGAGGTCCCACGTGCTCCACCTTTGGATGGTAGCAGCAAAGCCGATGGTCATGGGAATGCCTTTTCTCCAATGACATTTCCACTGATAAATTCTTATCAGTTCCTTTTGCTGAACCATGTGTCAGGGCCACAGATTTGGGTGGTGGAAGCTCTCTTTTTTGCACCTGCAGTAGCTGTGGCTGTGGTCCCAGGTAGCAGCATCTCCGTGGGGATTCCTTCCTGGGATGATGGCTGTGGGGGCTAGGCTGAAAACAGGACTCCCAGAGCTCTTGGGCATATTTGCCCATTGTTAGTAAGTGGTCAGTGGCCAGTGTTGGTGATGGCAAGGCAGTGGACTCCTTTGCCACAGGGATTACTCTTCTTGATGATGGCTGTGGGCTAGGCTGTAAGCAGGCCCAGTGGTCTGGAGAGTGCTGTTTTTCCCAAGGCCAGGGCTAGCTCCATCAGGGTCCCAGGGAAGGTGGTGGTGGTTTGACTCGCTTGACCACGTTGCCTCCCAGAGAGACACGTCTTGATAACTGATGAGATATGAGGGTTGAGGAAGAGTAAAGAGCCGAGGATGTTTCTGAGATTGTGAACATGATGACTATAAGAATGATCATTATGTCTATTTCCATTTTGGCTCAAATTCATTCTAGTGCTTTTTTTTCACCCTCCCCCCTCCAACCACATGAAAAAGTTTGGGTACTTTTAGGTGTGAGATCTCAATCTTAATTAAGTGTAGACGCAGAAAACAATATCTGAGGAACATTAAGTGAAGATGAACACTGAGGTACATGATGTACAATTGTAGTAGATATGATGTATGGGATACAATCGTACCCCTCCCTCTTCTGCATCCCTGCTATCATCCATCATTTGACCTTTCGGGCACCTGACCAGCTCTTTGAAGACGCATTAAAGTTGGCCAGGTGGAGCACCAACCAATTCCTTCACTGTTTTTGTGTTAATGTTCCATAATAACTCTTTGAGTGACTCCTTATAAAATGCAAGAGACATCTGAAAGAAGTTAATGAGAAGGACTTTTTATTACTGGATGTCGTACTTTGGTATTTTTCCTCTAGGTACTGAGGCCAGGCGAGGATTGTATCATTTGTGTAGGCCATACTGGGGCTGCTTCCTATAAGCTCTTTTGCCACGACCAGGACAGCAGAAGAAGGAAGCAATCCTAGATGGCTCTTGACGTTGAACGACTGGAAAGTATGCAGACAGCAAAGGGTCTAGGTTCATCCCAAACGAAGACTGGGGATATTTAACTTGGAGGAGAAAGACTTAGTGGAGAATTAATACACGTCATCAAGTACTTAAAAAGTTATCACATGATCACACCAGGATTATTCTGCTTGGCCTCAGAGGGTAGAACCAGGAGCAACAGGTAGAAGACGAAGCACACAGACTAAGGCCTCATGTCAGGGGAAACAAAATACCCTCTTTCCCCACCCTTCCCAAACAACAACAAGCCTTCCTAACAATGAGTGCTATCTCCAGATAGAGTGGGCTGCCTTGAGGGGGCGAGTTCCCTCTGACTGGAGGCCTTCAAGCAAAGGCCAGATGATCACTTGTCAGTCATGCTGCAGAAGGAACACCTGTTCAGGGATGAGTCGGCCGCCGAGGGTCTCTCTAAGTTTGAAATTTGGTAACAGGGACTCACTGTCTTACCGTAAACAGGAAAATCCTGGCTGGCTATTCATCTCAGAGTTATTCTTTATGATCAAAAGGATTAAATTTTTATGATCAGGGATATGGCTCTAAATAATTGATCATCCCTTGGATAGTGGGCCCAATCTGCCATTTAAATTAAGAACACATTTTCTACTCTGAGCCGTTAACACTAAGTGACTACTATTAAAAGCCTGAGACCATACGCCCATCATTTTTCATTTCAAAAGGCACCTTACTTTATTAAAAAAATTGCCTTATTAAATAAAAAAAAATACAGCAGCTAACTTAAGTGTCTCCTCAGGCTCAAGACGAACAGACTCGGCATCTGTTTGAAGGCTATCTCCCCCAGGGCTTGAAACACGTGACTGGCTTCCTTATCACACAACTACATAGTTAGCAGACAAAAGAAAGACACTCTGACCTCTGGCCAGAGATAGGGAATCTATCAGGTCTGTGGAGTTTTCAAATTAGGATGTTACTTGATAAAGAAGAGATCCACAGCCTTGGCTTTGAATTGTACCATTATAATTAGAGTTCCAAGATAATTGGAGGAAAAATTCAACAAGATGCACTTAATGTTCTTCTCTAAAGACAGGGCTAAGCGGCCAAGAGGCCTGAATTGATAAGCAGCAAGCAGTGTGGTGTTTGGCATACCCTGCAGGAACCCTAATGGAAAGGGAAGTCTAAGGCCGTACTATAAAGACTAAGCTGATTAGGGGTGTGCTTGCTTTTCTTTGTGACTAAGGAAAGGTGAATCCCTCCAGAGATATTCTAGTAAAAATGCAGGGGGACACAAATACCACCACACACACTCTACAAAACCCCAAAGCAACTTGAAAGACTTTCCTTTGACTATCATACTTTATTTTCTTTCTGGTAATATGAATATATAATAAAATAGAAGGTGCCCAAATAGATTTTTAACAGGTAAGAAAAGAATACAGTTTCCGGATATCAAGCCATCATTTACAAATTAACACTGCAAAACATATGAATTAATAAGTCTTAATTGGTTTACATAAGAATTATAATAGGAAGTAAACAAAATCATCTATTTGATACAGAACAAATAAGAAAAAGCTCCCATCGTCCTAAGATTCTGTCCTTATGCTAGTTCTGCACAAGGTTTTAAATGAATATAAATCTGTAAAAACGATGGAGCCGTTTCTGAACATTCAGTGGTACTTACAAACACGTTTGGTTCTCTGCCTAATGGTTCTGATTTAAGTGTGACCACACAACGCACACGCACACGCCGGGGAACACCTGACACAGCGCTGTCCTGCTGGTGGCGGCCGCCTCCTGGGCCCCGGATCATGGGTTAAGCTAGCTCATAGTACTTCCCAGTCTGGGGGTCAAAGTAGCAGTTGAGACATGGATCATACAGCAGAGTCAGCACGTCCCCATCCTCTTCGGCACTTAGGTCATCCTCCCCTGCACGAAAGAAGAAGAAAGACAAGAACCACTGACCGTCCCAAGAATTCAGAAAGCTGAATCACGCAGGGGGAAATCAAGCATTTATCAAGTGCCAGCCACTGAGCTAAATGATGCGGGCACAAAACAGAAGAAAATCCCTGCCATCATGGTGTTTACAGTCTGATAAGATGCTGTCTTCTTGAGGACGACTATTTACAAAAATACACCAAACATTGATGGCTTTGTTGCTGTGAGGAGGTCCCGGGATGGAAAGTTCCTGTCGCCAGTGACCACCTCGAGCCACCTCTGGCATAGCGGATAACAACTAAGAAGAGGCCGGGGTACTTCGAGGTCATGTGACTTTCCGAGGGTCACAGAGGTTATGAAAACATCTGACAAACAAGGCAACATTCATGTCTGCGGGTGGACCATAAGAGTATCTAAAGCAGGATGAAAGGAAGTGATAAGGAAATAACAGAACTCCAACGAATGTCTAATCCTTCGGGATCTCATGATGATATTTTGGATACTAGTTATTCTACCATACAAAGAGAGAATCAGGCTTCAGGTGGTTTAAAGTCACTTGACCTCCATTTTGTGTCTGCTTCCTCATCTGTAAACTGGGGATCATAAAAGCACCCACCTTGCAGGACTGTTGTGAGGATCAAGTGAAATATTTGCAAAGAGCACAGAGGAAGCTCTTATGGAAATGCTTATTCCCTTTTTCCCTCCATTAGCCCCACCCCCGCCAACCCATAAGAAGGTGTCTACCTTCCTCAGAGGATTCCTGTGAGGAAAGTGCTTTGTAAAGTTCAAAGGACTTTAGGAATGTAAATTATGATTATTAATCAATTAATAAGCATTTATTAAGTGTTTCCCATGTGCCAGACACTGTATTGAGTCTGGGATATTTTGAATATGTTTGGTTATTTTAATTATTTTACAATATTATTATTATCATCTGAGTTGAAACTCAGTGAACTAAAAAACGGGAACAAGAACGGCATCCTTAGAGCAAAACTGGGTGAAACGATCTTCCTGTGACACTGAAATGCTTGAACTTCGTCAGAGGATTTTGTTTTGGTTCTAATGTAGTTTTCACAGACTTCAACTAACACCATTTTGCCATTGCAATCACTATGTAATAAAATTATAATATCATTAAGCAATTACCATTATGATGTCAAAGCAATGGGAAATGTTGTGAAAAGTAATTACCATGCACGAGTACTACGAAACTTTCAATTACACTCTCGCATCATACAGGGTTAGCTTTTCCTCAAAATGGCAAATTGCTCTATTTAAGGCTGAGCCCCAGTACCTCGACAAGGACGTATTAACGACAACAACAGCAACAAAATCATTTCCCACTACCACTTGGAGAACATTTAGACCTGGGTCCAAATCAGGCTTTTTACCTTTTCCCCATAATAAAATGATTTCTGGTTCAATAGAATTGCCTTCCATTTAATTATCAGCTTATTGAGTTTCGGCCTTATCTGCTTTGAGATTGGCTAAGGGCAATAACAGAAGGAAAACTAACTCAACCATTGCTAATGCTATGATATTGGCTGTCCGCTGATCTATCTGTTAAGAGTTAATGGGAGGAGTCATTTCTCCAGTTCATTTACTCTTACTGAAAGTCAATTAATGTAAATAATCATCTACATGTAATGCATTTATAACAATATTAAAAAAAAAAAAATCAGGCAGGTTTTCAATCTAGAATATCACTGGTGTGGGAAGCCAGATACTTTGAACACCTTTGAACTCCTTTACTTACACTTCAATTTTCTGACTCTGCCATGTAGAAGTACTGGGACCAGTCACCCCCTCTCTCCAGACTACTTTCCTGTGTGCATGGTGGGAAGGATATCCATTTGGGGTGGCTTGAGAGAGGGTTCAGGGCTTTCCAACTGTCCCGGAGCAATCCTCCAGCAAGGCAGCATCCCCTGGAGGGAAGTTCCCTCTAAACTGCATGGTGTTCTCGGCAGACGTGAGCCCAGGGGAAGTACAAGATAAATGAAAGGCTCAAATATGATTTCTTTGACAATACAAAATTAGAATCTTATTGCTGCTCAGAAAGCAAGTGAACGACAGGCCGGGAGTATTGATTTCTGTTCAGGCGTCAGCTGAAAAGCGTGTACATCAGACACTGTGGAAGCCAGAAGCAATTTTCTGTTCTGGTGAAATGCCACTTAAAAGAGAATTCTGAAGGTTTGCTTCATCTTGAAGTATCAATATTTCACTGTGTAAACAATTTCTTATAAAGGCAGTGCCAATTTCTAAAAGGATTGTGTTCCCAAAGTCCGTTTATCAATGGACTCTGGAGACCTTGTAACAGATTTTCTCGCACAAGTAAACAGTGAGCCCCCGCTGCTGTCCCCTGAAGAGATGAGAGGCAGAGACACAGTGGAGGGAGCCAGAAAGTCCCAAATCTCACGCCAGTGGGGGTGTGATCCTGGCCAAGTCCCATCAGCTCCTTGTGTCCCTGGCAGCTCACCATGACTACGATGCAGCAGAGGTGTAGACCTGCACTGGAAGAGGGTGTTTCCTCACCCGGGAGTTCTCGATGCCAGTAAAATCACAGGCCTAGTACCCACTGCTAGGTTTTCAGGCTGCCCAACCAAAGCCTGGTGTAGTGGAAACAGCATGGGCCCTGGGCTGGAGACATGGTCTTGAGTGAGTTACCAAAGCTTGTACCTTCCTTGTGGGGCCCTTCTGAGGGTCCAGGAGCTGTCAGTGTGTGGCACGTGGGCCTTGATGCTTTGAGATCCTCAATGCTTCGAGAGCCACGCTTCGTCAGGGCAGGTGGCTCCTGTCCACAGGCAGATCCCCAAGACCTTTAGCAAGGACCACTGTGATGACATGGCTGGTCCTCAGACAGTCAGCATCCAGCCTCATCTATCTGGGCCTGTCCATGAAGCCTTTCTAGCCTAAACATGGCGGGTCACCATTTCATAGCCCTGCCAATTTTTGTGAACCCAGGGCTGCTTCCATACCCCAATGAAGCATTAGAGCAGGACATGTGTGGATGTGAAATATCACCAGCTGAATCCGCAGTGTCCCTCAAATACAACACTCATCATATTATTTCAACTACATCTAACAAACTTTACACTATTGTTTCCATGAGAAAATGAAGTAGCAATTCCAACCAGGGGCACTAAGCCTACATCCAGGAGAGGTGTTTGATACAAGGGAATTGATGCTAGGGTTTTGTGTGCACACGTGTGTGCATATGCGTGTGTGCATGCATGCTGCCTATTCTTAATTTAAGATGGTTATCTGAATTACATTCTTTTGTTTCTCCCTACCTAATTCCTCTCCTGTCTTTCCACTCTTTCTCCTTCCAAAACCACCTCAGCTGTTTGTGGCTTAAGGGGCTGGAGCAGAATCTATTATACTTTAGCTAACGTAAAAAAAGCAGGGGTAGCAATCCTGATCTCACACAAAGCAAAAGCAAAAATAGACCTAATTAAAAGAGATAAGCAGGGAAATTTCATTTTGCCAAAAGGTACCATAGACAGTGAAGTAATATCAAACATTTTTAAAGGCAAATTTCTCTGATAAAGACCTCATTTCTCAAATACATGGGGAACTGAGTCAAATTTACAAAAATAAGAGCCATTCCCTAATTGATAAATGGTCAAAGGGTATGAACAGGAAGTTTTCAGAAGAAGAAATCAAAGCTACCTATGGTTATGTGAAAAATACTCTAAGTCACTTTTGTTTAAAGAAATACAAATTAAAGCAACTCTGAGGTACCACCTCACACCTATTAGAAATGACAAATGCTGGAGGGGATGAGGCTAGAAACTAGGCACACTAATAAACTGTTGGTAGAATTGTGAACTGGTCCAATACACTGCAGAACAATTTGGAACTCGGTCCAAAGGGCTATAAAACTGTGTCTATCTTCTTTGTCCCTGCAATATCACTACCAGCTATGTACTCCAAAGTGATCAAAGGAAAAGGAAAAGGATCTATGGGTACAAAAATACTTTGAGCAGCTCTTTTTGTGCTGTCAAAGAATTGGAAATTGAGGAGATGCCCAATGGACAAACAAGTTATGGCATATGACCATGATGGAGTACTATCGTGCTATAAGAAATGACAAAGGGGTGGTTTCTGAGAAAAACATGGCGAGACCTACATGAACTGATGCAAAGTGAAGTGAGAAGGCAGGTCATGGTGCACAGTAACAACAAGGCTGTAATGACGACCATCTGTGAAAGACCTGGCTACTCTGATTAATACAATGATACAAGACAACTCTGAAGGCATCATGATGAAAAAATGCCATCCACCTACAGAGAGAGAACTGGTAAACTCTGAGGGCAAAATGAATTATAATGTTCCCCCTTTTACAATTTTTTCTTGCTTTTTTGTGATATAGCTAAAATGGAAATGTTTTACATGATTTCACATGTATAATTGATAACATTTTGCTTGCCTTCTCCCTGGGTGTGGGAAGGGCCAGAAGGAGAGAATTTGGAACTCAAAATCTAAAAAGAAAAGAATGTTAAAAAAAATAATAAAAGCAACACACATGCACACACATTCAAATAAAACCTTTCCTCTTCTTCAACTTTCTAACCTGGGTTAAAGCCCTGGAGTGGTGGAAGCTCATTTATTTGTGATTAGGTAGGTATAGATGGTTAGCACCCTCATTCTTCCCAATTCCCAACTCTGGAGGTGAGAGTTCACGGAGGGGAGGAGGGGGGTAGGGAGGGAGGGAGGAAGGGGGGGGGAGAGAGAGAAGGAGAGAGGGAGAGAGAGAGAGAGAGAGAGAGAGAGAATTTGTGTGCATGAGTGTGTGGACATGCCCATGACAACATTTCATGAACACAGATGCATGGCCTCAGCTCACGAACAGTACAGACTCTGTTACTGGTGTGCTTCTTGGGTTGGTAAAAGCAGAAGAGCAAAAGCCAATGACAGCAGGCACTGGTGGAGGCACTGAGCAAGGAGAGGTTAACGCCAGGATTCATCTGAACTCGATCCTTGAATTTCCCCTCTGGCAGAAGCTCAGTTTATGTTCCATGTAACTGAGTTGCTGCTGTCAGTGCTGGCCTTTGTGACAGTGACTTTAAGATGACTTTTCAGGCACTATCAGAATCTATCTCTCCAGTGCCTTCGCTCAAGGACCACAGCCTCATTCTCTCTGGCTTATTTAGGACATTTACCAGAACAGATCAGGTGCTTCCTCCCAGCAAGGTCCCTTCTTGACAGCAAGGCCTTATTCTTCTGTCATAAGTAATTATAAATGTACACCTCTGAAAAGACGCCCAATTTGAGGGGCATAATCTATTTCAGATTATAAATCACAGAAACAGCTCCATCCCCGGGGCAGCCAAAATATACAAGTCAGATTTATGAGCTCTCACTCTGAATTCTCTAGACCCAAAGACAAATGTGGATGCATCATTGCTCTCTCCTTTGGGCAATCAGCAGAAAACTGGCACCTTGGTGGGTTTCAACTGTGTTTTTTGTCTTCCTAACTTTAGGTCTTGTGCTCTCTTGTTCAAGACTTGATGCAGAGAATATTCTTAGACAGTCATGATATTAAAGCTGGGCATATGCGGCAGGGCTCAGAAATGTTTATTTCCCTTTCCCACCATTCAAATTTCTCAATTTTCAGCAAAAATTATTTTGTTGATATTTTATCCCTGGGCCCCTAATGGCAATGCTTCCATCCCAGAGCCAGAAACAAATGGTTCACCTGAGCAGAAACTGTTGCCAAAGGGACCTCTGTCTCAGGGTCTGCCTCTTCATTCTTCTCAAATTTCCACTAGGAACTGTCAGAGCTGCATTGCCCAAGAAACACGGGCTGACTTTGTGATGCTCAGGAAGTGATACTAAAATATTAGAATTACTTTCCTGGAAGCAATAATTAGAAAGTTGGGAGCACTTTTTTGATTTGTTTCAGCTATGCATATATCCCACTATAGAAGTACAATGAATATTAACTGAAATTAATGATGAAGAAATCAAGACATGTCCCAGCACAGAAATGGCCCTATGTGACTGGTGTTTAACAGCTAAAAACGGCAGGATTTCCTCATCCTTAAGTGGGGGGGGGGGGCAGGTAGACGAGGTGGCCGTAGGGGCCCCCTCCAGCTCTTGAGCTTATTTTTCTAATGCTTATAAATTCATTTACTTTCCTTTTCAGCAAACGTTACTATTTAAATTCCTACCTTGAACACTCAAACTTCCTGAGGAATCCAGGTGCTCTGCAGGCTGCTGGCTACGGGGGACAATAGGTGGACTGAACACATTTAACCAATCCCTGTAAAAAAAGAAATCAAATAGACAATTTTAAACTTCAGAAAAATGAAGTTGAGATGCCAATGCATTAAAACAATTAAAAACTGTCCAATTACATATGAAAACATTCAATAAACTGCTCTTGATTTAATGATGAATAAAAATGACAACTCACATTTTTGTAGCATTTAATGTTTAAAACGTGCTTTTCTTGTAACAAGCCTGGGAGCTAGGGAGTTCGAGCATTATTATTTCCATTTTACAGGTGACAAAACTGAGGATGAGAGAAGTTAAATCACTATCTCCTGACTCCAAGTCCAGGTCTCTATTACTAGAGAAAATCCAGAGCATGTGTAGTGGGGGACCTGACTTAAATCCCACTTTAGTCATTTAATGCTGGGGTCATCTTGGGCCAGTCACTTCACCTTTCTGGATCTCAGTTTCCTCCCCTTAGATTATGTAGCTGTGAAGGTCCCTTTCAGCTCAAAATCTATAATCTCATAATGTTCTGATCCCAAGTCGGGCTATTCTGTAACCCAATGGGTTCCCATCTGTTCTAGACCGTCAACCTGAGGGACTCAATTCATATTACCTCCAAATTGGAGAAGCATGCCTCTATATTGTTATTCAGGACCTTGATAAAAATATTGAACAGCACAGGGCCAAGCAGAGATCCCTGGGGCACTTCACTAGAGACCTCTTCTAAGTTAGCACTGAACCATTAATGGCTAATCTTTGATATGGATAATCAAAGTCATCGCTATAGCTGTATCCATTAAGCTATCTAGTATGCTTTTTTTTTTTTTTGTAGTGAGGCAATTGGGGTTAAGTGACTTGCCCAGAGTCACACAGCTAGGAAGTATCAAGTGTTTGGTCTGAGGACGGATTTGAACTCAGGTCCTCCTGATTCCAGGGCTGGTGCTCTATCCACTGTGCCACCCAGCTGCCCCTCTAGTATGCTTTTGACATGGGCATGAAAGACATCTTGTTGGAAGAGAGCCCTCAGTGATGGGTTCTGCCTTACCAAGTCAAATGGCCTATTATTTTGCCCTGTTCAGGCAAAAGATGAAATGATTTCTTGATAAGAATAAAACTTCTACATTAGAGAACAAATACAGTAGAAGCTTCTCTATGACCTTCAGATTAGCAGGTTTAGACAAGGTGGTGATTTTTTTGTTTCACTTATTACACAGCAGCACTATCTGAAGTTCCCACATGGGAATTTTGTTTCATGGACTGTCACATCCAAAGAATTCATCAGCCAGTGTCCGTTAGTGATGAGCAACTTTGTACTTTGGTAGGCTGGTCCTCGGTCCGCAGATACTGTTACCAGGACTGTAGTTCAGGGCTCTTTATTCCAGCTCTCTGTCATTGCTTATGTCTTGCTGGCAGAGCCTTCAAGAATCCAGGGTCACCTACGCATCCAGATGAGTCACAAGAGTATGAATTTTGTGGAGGACAAGAGACAAGAAATGGCAGAGATATGGTATCTGCTTCATAAGGATCTATTTCCATCACTGATGACAGCCCCCACAGAGACTCAGCATTTGATAAAATGGCATTCAAGAAAAAGATGGTGGGAAGAGCATCAGGCCCAAACCACACAAGGACACACAGAAGGGGCCATGCCAAAAGGAAGACGGCTCTGAAAACATTCTTATGCTATCTGAAGAAGGGGAAGACATCAAAGGATGGAAAAAAAATCATATGTAACATTCAAAAAGTGATCTAGAGGACATTAGTAACTCCTGATTCACATACACACCTTGTTATTTATGTACGACTTTTACGAGAAGGACTCATTACCAGAGGTATGATGATGAAAGATGATGAAAATACACTAGGGGAACAGACAGGTGGATGCCAATGATTGTCTACAATAGAGCTCATCTTCACAGCCACATGAGCCAATCCGTTATTAAAGAGGAAAAGGAAGACAAAGACAAGAACCTTAGCAGACAAGAAAGCATGGGGCGGGGTGTGGGTGCCTTAATTTTTGAGCTCTCTAACCTATTCAAATTACTGAGGGAGGAGAGTCACTCCTCAAGTTATCCTAACAGTTGAAGTATTCCAGAATCCAGATTCTTGAATATGGCACTTCAGTATATTGAAAATATGCAGTAGTGACCATATAGCCTGAACTCAATGAAGCTCATCCTTGCACAAATACCTTCAGGGTATCAGAGAATAGATGGTGGAGGCGAGGGAGAACCAGGCTCTGGCCACACCAGAAGGGCTCTCTTCCTTTGATCTCTTTTCTTACCTCCTTATTTTTTGTCCCCATTTCCACCATGATTCCAAAGCAGGGACTTGGGTTCAAATTCCTCCTGGCTACTTGGTACTCTGTTATCTGGAGAAGGTCCCTTAGCCTGTCTGGGCCTCAGTTTCTTTTTTTCTTTTTTTTATGGTAATTTTAATTTATTTTTTTGTTTTCAACATTTACTTCCACAAGATTTTGAGTTCCAAATTTTTACTCCATCTTGCCCCTCCCCCACCCCAAGATGGCATGCATTCAGAATATCCCTTCCCCTAGTCTGCCTTCCCTTCTATCTCTCCCCCCCCTTCTCTTATCCCCTTCCCCTTCAATTTTCCTGTAGGGCAGGATGGATTTCTGTACCCCATTTCCTGTATTTCTTATTTCCCAACTGCATGTGAAAACATTTTTTTTAAACATGTGTTTTTAAAACTTTGGGTTCCAAATTTTCTCCCTTCCTCCTTCCCCACCCACCCTCATTGAAAAAGCAAGCAACTCAATATAGGCTATACATGTGCAGTTATGCAAAACACTTCAATAGTAGACATGCTGTGAAAAACTAACTCTAGTTCCCTTAATCCTATCCTGCCCCCCCATTTATTCTATTCTTTCTTTTGACCCTGTCCCTCCTCAGAAGTATTTGCTTCTGATTACCCCCTTTCCCAATCAGCCCTCCTCTCTATCATTTCCCTACTCTCTTGTCCCCTTCTCTCCCTATTTTCCTGTAGGGTAAGACAGATTTCCATACCCAGTTGAGTGTGTATGTTATTCCCTCTTTAAGTGAAATCCTATGAGAATAAGATTCACTCATTCCCTCTTACCTTCCCCCGTTTCCCCTCCACTGTAAGAGCCTTTTCTTTTCTGATTTTTTTTTTGTGGGATAAATTACCCCCTTCTACCTCTCCCTTTCTTCTTCTCCTAGTATAATCCTCTCTCACCCCTTAATTTTATTCTCCAGATATGACCCCTTCATCTTCAACTCACCCTGTGCCCTCTATCTATATCTATATATACGTACACATAATTTTTTCCCCTCCAACTACCCTAATACTGACAAAGGCCTTGTGAGTAACAAATATCATCTTTCCATGCAGGAATGTAAACAGTTCAACCTTAATAAGTCTCTTATGATTTTCTCTTTCCTGTTTACCTCTTCATGTTCCACTTGAGTCTTGTATTTGAAAATCAAATTTTTTATTCAACTCTGGTCTTTTCATCAAGAATGCTTGAAAGTCCTCTATTTCACTGAATGACCATTTTTTCCCCTGCAGGATTATACTCAGTTTTGCTGGGTAGGTGATTCTTGGTTGTAATCCTATTTCCTTTGCTCTCCGGAATATTATATTCCATGCCCTGCGGTCCCTCAATGTAGAAGCAGCTAAATCCTGTGTTATCCTGATTGTATTTCCACAATACTTGAATTGTTTCTTTCTGGCTGCTTGTAATATTTTCTCCTTGACCTGGGAACTCTGGAATTTGGCTACAATATTCCTAGGAGTTTTCCTTTGGGGATTTCTTTCAGGAGGAGATCGATGGATTCTTTCAATTTCTATTGTGCCCTCTGGTTCTAAAATATCAGGACAGTTTTCCTTGATAATTTCTTGAAAGATGATGTCTAGGTTCTTTTTTCGATCCTGGTTTTCAGATAGTCCAATAATTTTTAAATGATCGCTCCTGGATCTATTTTCCAGTTGTTTTTCCAATGAGATATTTCACATTGTTTTCTAATTTTTCATTCTTTTGGATTTGTTTTACAGTATCTTGACTTCTCATAAAGTCACTAGCTTCCAATTGCTCTATTCTAATTTTTAAGGAAGTATTTTCTTCAGTAATCTTTTGGACTTCCTCCATTTGGTCAATTTTGCTTTCTAGGGCATTCTTCTCCTCTTTGGCTTTTTGGACCTCTTTTGCCATTTGGGTTAGGTTATTTTTTAAGATGTTATTTTCTTCAGTATTTTTTTGGGTCTCCTTTAGCAAGCTACTGACTTGTTTTTCATGATTTTCTTGCATCACTCTCAGTTTTTCCTCTACTTCTCTCACTTGCTTCTCAAAATTCCTTTTGAGTTCTTCCAAGGCCTGGGACTGATTCATATTTTTCTTGGAGGCTTTGGATGTAGGGGCTTTGGCTTTGTTGTCTTCTTCTGGTTGTATGTTTTGATCTCCTTTGTTACCCAAAGTAAGATAATATAGTCTGACTCTGTGCTGCTTACTCATGATCCCGGCCAATTAGTTTAAAACTCTTTGTTAAGGTAAAAGTCTGCTTCCAACGTGAAGAGTGTACTGTCCCAAGCTTCAGGGGTGTGTACAGCTGTTTTCAGAGGTACTTCTAGGGATCTGAAAATTTTCAGTTCTTCCAAGGTGCTATGATAAGGGGTGAGGTGTTTCCTCTCCACAGCCGCAACAAGCTTCACCACACCAGCGCTCCTCCTCGCCCCAGGACCACCCCTCAGAACTGTGACCCAGATCCAAGCACCAGTAAAGCAAGAGATTCCTGCCTCAGCACTGGCAAAGAGAACCCTGCAATCCCCATGTGATCAGCCACTTGATTCCCCCTCAGTCTGTGGGCCTGAAGCTCAGGAAAAAGCCGCAACCCCGGGCCGCGCTCGAGACTTGCGGCTGAGACCTAGCTCCTCTCTTACTGCATACACAGACTTTTCCCACTTACTTTCTAAGTTGTCTTTGGCGTTCAGGGGTTGAGAAGTCTGGAAACTGCCACAGCTGCCCGAAATTCAGTCCTCTGAGGCCTGCTCCAGGGTTGCTGTGGCCTG